TCAAGATGAATTAAAGACTTAAATGTAAACTTAACTCATTTCAATACTCTTCTTATGCATAAAAAATTTAATACCTCTTCAATGTGCTATATCCATTTGCTTGTGTTTGTGATTATACTTCTATAGATCCAATCTCAGAAAAATTATTCTGTATTCAATAAAGGCAATAAGATGGATGGATGATTTAGTTCCTACCTTCATTTTCCCTGTCTCGAGGTCACTGTCCTATCCTATCTCATGTTCGCTGTCTGAAGACTATTGGTATGTATATTTTATCAAAAATTTCTTAGTTTAGTTAAGCCAAGAATACAAACCTAGTCCCTATTATGCTATGTGTCTGGAATAAGTTCCAGTGTTATAAAAACATATGAATTCTAATGTGAATGCCAGTCAAAGTAGACTTCACAGGAAAATCAGTACAAAAGAGAAAGAGAAACATTTTATAATGATAAATAATTGATTCATTTAAAAGACAAAACAATTTGAAATGCATATGCTCTAATATATAACTTCAAATTATATAAAGTTAATTTTATATAGCTAGAAAGAACAGCCAAATTCATAATCTAACGATTTCAAGTGGGTTTTATACCAGAGATGCAGGGATGGTTTAACATATACAAGTCATAAATGTGATACATCACATAAACATAATTAAAAACAAAAATTACATGATCATCTCAATAGACACAGAAAAAGCATTTGGCAAAATTCAGAATCCCTTTATGATTAAAATCCTCAGCAAAATTGGCATAGAAGGGGCCTACTTCAAGGTGATACAAGCCATCTATAACAAACCCACAGTCAATCAACATCATACTGAATAGGGAAAAGTTTAAAACCATTCCCCCTAAGAATATGATGCCTGCTCACCACATCTATTAATCATAGTTCTGGAAGTCCTAGCCAGAGCAATCAGACAAAAGAAAGAAAGAAAGGGCATCCAAATCAGTAAAGAGGAGGTCAAACTGTCACTGATTTCTAATGATATTATTATATCTAGATAACTCTGAAGACTTATCTAAAGAGCTCCTAGATGTGATAAATTCAGTTAAGTTTCAGGATGCAAAAATCAATGTACACAAATCATCAGCACTGCTATATACCAGCAACAACCAAGCTGAGAATCAAATCAACAACTTAATCCCTTTTCCAACAATTGCCATATATATACACACACATATATACGCGTGTATATATATACGTATATGCATATACACGTATATATGTGTGTACATACACGTATATAAGTGTGTGTGTGTATATATATATGTATATTTGAGGAACATACAAAGCCAAGGAGGTGAAAGAACTCTTCAAGGAAAACTACAAAAAACTGCTGAAAAATATCATTGACAACAGAAACAAATAGATAACACATCTCATGCTAATGGATGGGTAGAATCAATATTGTGAAAGTGACCATACTGTCCAAAGCAATATACAGATTCAATGCAATTGAATCATCAAATACCATCATCATTCTTCACAAAACTAGAAAAAACAATCCTAAATTCATATAGAACCAAAAAAGATCCTGCCTAGCCAAAGCAAGATGAAACAAAAATAATGAATCTGGAGGTGTCACATTACCCAACTTCAAACTATATTAGAAGGCTATCCTTACCAAAACAACATGGTACTTGTATAAAAATAGGTACATAGACCAATGAAACAGAATAGAGAACCCCGAAATGAAACCAAACACTTAGCAGCCAACTGATCTTCGACAAAGCAAATAAAAACGTAAAGTTTGGAAAAGACACCCTATTCAACAAACGGTAATGGAATATTTGGAAAGCCACATAAAGAAGAATGAGACTGAATTCTCATCTCTCATCTTATGCAAAAATCAACTCAAGGTGGATCAAAGACTTAAATCTAAGATCATAAACCATAAAAATTCTACAAGATAACATTGGAAAAAACATTCAAAACATTGTCTTGGTTCTTCGTGACCAAGAAACCAAAATCAAACACAACAAAAACAAAGATAAATAAATTGAACTTAATTAGACTAAAAAGCTTCTGCAACGCAAAAGAAATAATCAGCAAACAGACAACACATAGAGTAGGAGAAAATCATTGCAATCTATGCATCCGACAAAAACTCATATTTGGAATCCACAAGGAACTTAAACAAACAGCAAGACAAAAAAAAATTCTATCAAAAAGTGAGCTAAGGACATGAATAGAAAATTCTTAAAAGAAGACATACAAATGGCCAACAAATATTTGAAAAACTGCTCTGCGTTAGTAATTATCGGGGAAATGCAAGTTAAAAAGACAATGAGATATCATCTTATTCTTGCAAGAATGGCCATACTTTAAAAATCAAAATATAATAGATATTGACATGGATGTGGTGAAAAGGGAACACTTTTGCATTAATGGTGGGAATGTAAACTAGTATAACCACTGTGGAAAACAGTATGGAGATTCCTTAAAGAACTAAAAGTAGTACCTCCATTTGATCCAGCAATCCCACTACTGGGTATCTACCTAGAGGAAAAGATGTCATTATATGAAGAAGACATGCACATGTGTGTTTACAGCAGCACAGTTTGCAATTGTAAAAATATGGAACCAATCTAAATATCCATCAACCAATGAATAAAGACAATGTGGCATGGAATACTATCCTGGCATAAAAAAAAAATAAAATAATAGGCCAGGCCCGGTGGCTTATGCCTGTAATCCCAGCACTTGGGGAGACCAAAGCGGTTGGGTCATCTGAGGTCAAGAGTTCAAGACCAGCCCTGTCAACATGGTGAAACTCCATCTCTACTAAATATACAAAATTTAGCAGGGCATGGTGGTAGGCACATGTAAGATCAGCTACTCGGGAGGCTGAGGCAGGAGAATCACTTGAACCTGGGAGGCAGAGGTTGCAGTGAGCCGAGAACGTGACATTGTGCTCCAGCTTGGACAACAAGAGTGAAACTTTGTCTCCAAAAACAAAAACAAAAAATGAAAAGAAAAAATTATGAAATAATGGCATTTGCAGCAACCTGAATGGAGTTGGAGATTATTATTCTAAGTGGAGTAACTCAGGAGTGGAAAATCAAACATTGCATGTTCTCACTTATAAGTGGGGGCTAAGCTATGAGGACACAAAAGCCTAAGAATGATATAATGGACTTCGGGGACTCGAAGGGAAGGGAGGTAAGAGAGTGAAGGAGACTACACATTGTGTACAGTGTACACTGCTTGGGTGATGGGTGCATAAAAATCTGAGAAACCACTACTAAATAACTTACCGTATAACCAAAAACCACCTCTTCCCCTAAAAACTATTAAAATAAAGATAATTTAACACCTTTCCATCACCACTTCATCAAATGAATAAGATATCAGTATGAAAATAGAAGAGTTAAAAAAAAACAAATAAATATTCGACATTTATAACCAATTAACAAAATATATATATTTTTCAATTGGCAAATGTTACCAAACATTTAACAAGATACAATATATGATGAGTCATACATCGTCTCAATAAAGTACATTCTCTGATCATAAGCATATTGTTAGAAATAAATAAAAATAAGATACTTAGAAAAACACAAGCTATCTGGGAAAGAAATCATGCACCTCTGTACATTCTGTATCTAATGTTGTTTTAAAAATTCCTTATATTGGGTGTGTGTGTGGTGTGTGGTGTGTGTGGTGTGTGTGTGTTATTAGACTTACCACATGTCAAACAAATATATTAATCTTTCACAGAACAAAGTTTTCCTTGTATTTTTCTGTCTTTAATTTCTACTTTTATATTTGCTGTTGCCATTTTCTTCTTCCTTTAGTTTTAATGTAATCTGTTTTTGTAGCTTATTGTGGATGTTTCGATAATTGATTTTGCATTATCTTTTTTAGGATCACTACACAGAACTATAAATATTTTAAATACTACTGTGTTTGTACAAATTGTGGTACATAGTAGTATCATTATTTTTCAGTACGAAAGGTTTTCCAACTTCTCTGTGAATTTTTCTTTGATTCAAGTACAACTTTAAGAGAATGCCTTGAAGGAACACAATGTCTGCGTCATTTAAGGAAAAAAGACAATGATAGAGGAATTAATAGTATAATGTTATAGTGGGGACTTTTGATACATAGTAATTATTGGTACTCTTAAGTCAACTTTTCTGTAAGTCTGGAATTATGCCAAAATGAAATTTATAAATTAAGCCTTTTACTCTATTACAAAAACACTTAAATCAGGAACTCAAGGATAATACAATTTTAAAAACTTATGTAAGCATGTTATATTAAAAGATTAAGGACGAAGGATTATACGATTACCTCCACAGTTTCAGAAAAATACACTAAAAATAAATATTTACTGCATATTATGTTTAAAGCAAAACATTAGAAAGATATCTTTTATTTTGGAAACCAGGATGCCTGTTATGACTAATTTTAAATGGAAAATTTGAGATGATTTTCAATAAAATAGCAATAAAACTAGGAAGTACATAAAAGAGTGAATATCAAGCAGAAAGAATCTAGATTATTTTGTATTGCAGAAGTCATAATGATATGGTTAAGATAAAAAGAACTAATAAGAATGTATAAAACAGGGCTAATTATAAGGTCAGCATTAAACAAATAACATATTTCTTATACATTATCAGAAGAAAAATGAAAATTATATAAGAAATTCATTTTACTATAGGAAATTTATGTCTACATACAAATTACCTAGGAATAAATTAACAATAAATACATTGGAATATAATGTGTTAAATTTACTTAACTATGTGAAAGAAAAAATTAGCTATGTAAAGAAAAAAAAGAGAATTGCTTTTAATGCATGGTGTAACTCAATATTTAAAGACCTCAATTATTTCCAGTTTCTCTCTGTCTCTCTCTCTCTTTTTTTTTTTTTTTTTTTTTTTTTGAGACAGGGTCTTGCTCTTATCTCCAGGCTGGAGTACAGTGGTGCGATCTCACTGCAACCTCTACCTCCCGGGTTCAAGCGATTCTCCTGCCTCATCCTCCTGAGTAGCTGGGACTACAGGCACACACCACCACATCGAAGTAAGTTTTGTATTTTTAGTAGAGACAGGGTCCCACCATTTGGCCAGGATTGTTTCAAACTTCTGACCCCAAGTGCTCCATCTGCCTCCGCCTCCCAAATTGCTGGGATTACAGGCATGAGCCTCCATGCTCGGCCTTTACTATTAATTCACAGCCATATCAGTCTGTTCTGTTTGGATACTTTTTGAAACCTAATAATTTTTTCTAAAGTTTCTGTGGAAGACTAGATGGGTGGAAGTGAGAATTACAAAGAAACATTAAAAAAGAGTAAAATGTTTTACCAATTTTAAGGATCCCTGCCTATACTTATAAAAATATGATGTTTATCTAAACATATGATAACCATGTTATTTCAAACCAGATAATAATGATGGAATAGCAAAATTAAATAATGAAAGAGGAAGACGAAATATATGTATTATAGTTAAGATTTTGTTAAATTTGGTCTTTCAAATCAATGATATTATTCAATATAGTTTATAGCACACAGATGTAAATGCTGTACTATGCTGAAACAGTTAAGCATTTGTGCCCTCAGTCAAACGATCACAGATCACATCCATCTATGATATGTATATGATAGTGAAAATCCTACCTCACTGAGATAATTACTTGTTGATTTAATTCTGCTATTTTCTCTTACTATATTTGTTGCATATATGTTTTTAAATAGAATTCATCTTGCCTGTGTAGTGCATACACATGAGGTGTGCACACACACACGTACACATATGCCATCATCTGTGTGCATAAGCATACTCAGGTACACTTGTTTTGAGTTTATGCTAGCTGTATAAAAGTAACTTCTAGTTTTTCATGTTTTTATTTTGAATCCATTTATATATTAAGGAAATTATGTATTCTTTCTTTTCCTTTCTGAACTATGAATTCTTGGCCCAGGAACTTATTATAGGAGTTCTTTGATGAAATTTTGATAATCTTCTCATTAATTATTTGTATGGCAAATATTTTAGTATTGATTCTTCTAAAGTCAGTTTTGATGATTTCAGACCACATATTTTTAAAAATGATTTGAGATTGGCACTTCATTTTATGGTTTATAAGTTTATATTGAATATGTCATTAATGATAATTCCTGTTTTTTCTGCTAAGTTTTCCATATTCTGTTTATATCATTGTACTTTTTGAATAGCTAAATATATTTTTAAAAATATTCTTATGCCATAGAGAAAAGATCCTAAACACCTTTTGTGTGATTCATATCACTAGTTAGAATAAGATAAAACAAAGACAATTTTAAATTCTGTTAACTTATGATCAAATATTATTTCTCCACACCAAAATACCAAGTGAATGATGTGAAGTGTAACCCAACCATTGGCTATGTTTCATGTTTTTGTAACACACTTGTTTTCTTCAGCACAGTATTTGCAAAAATTGTGTGCGCAGTCATCAGATACATTTTCTGGGCCTGATTTCCTTCCTGATGTAATTTTATGATCATCCATTTTCCAATTTCCTTTGAAATTCACTCATTTAGTAAGAATTTAGTGAATATATTCTGTGTACACTGCTTCATACTGAAATTGGTGATTTAAAAAGAAGTTAAAATGTATTCTTTATTAATACTTTCTGGGAACATTCATTGTACATGTGCATCAAAGGCATGCACATAGGAAGAATCTGCAACAATTTAATTTACATACAATATGAACTATAAAAATGTGTGATACAGAAAACATGTCAAAAATAACAAGCTAGCCCTACAGGAAGTAAATTAGAAAGACAATGAGAATCTGTACTTGGACTGGACATTGAACAATAAGTAAATTTTAAGAGTCAATGGGAATAGAAAGACAATTGAAAAATTAGGTATATGAAAATAATGTTTTTTGAAACCTCTTTTCTGTTTTTATTCCAATAAAATGTTAGTATGTTGGTGGAAGATAAATCTAAGAGATTACCATAGAATAGTAAATATGTATTATAGACCTTAATGGTTTTCTAATGTAGAAGTTTATTATTGGTTTAAGTCTGTATTTATCAGAAAAATGCATTATTCTTATATTACTTTCCCTGATGAGTCATTTGGCCTTCTTTTAGAAACGTATATTGGTTATTCACATTATATCAACCACATGTATAAACAATTGAAGAAAGTTGTAAACAAAAAAAAAATTGCTCTGATCCTCACATAATTATATTCTAGAAACAAAAGATACAGTTTAATAAATAAGTCAAATAATATGTACTTCATGACAGGAGATATTATCCATGTCAAAGTTCATAAACAATCACCTGGATATGGCCATGCAATGCCAATATATGTATTGTGGAAATATAAGACCTTCTGTGTGAAAAAGAATTGAAAGGAATCCTGGACTCAAACGAATATGTAAAAGTTTTTATAGAGTGTTAAGCAGGAGATGATTGTCATTTGAAATAACAAGTTATAGGTGGGAATGGAAAGAGTAAATAGACCAAGGAAACATTTGAGGGAAATATACTTTCTGATATTATATTTATGCTGCAAGGGAACAGAGAAAAGTAATAAATAATTATTTTTCAAATTTCTGGCTTAAAAATTTGTTAATCCAGCTCCTGATACAGGGGATATTAGTTAAGACTAACTGCTTTGGTTGCCAGGTAAAGAAATTCTACTTTGTCAGGAACAGGCAGGAGTCAATATACTGTGGTCCACGGCCAAATTGATCTTGCCACCTGTTTTTGTAAATGAAGTTTAATTGCAACACAGCCATATCCATCATTGGAGCTTAATAGTTGCACCCAAACGTATGTTCCATAAAAACCTAAAATATTTGCCATCTAGCCCTTTACAGAAGATGCTTACTGACCTTGGACTAAAACAGAACAGTAAAGTTCATGAGTGTTCACGTGTTTTCAGGTGTTCAGACAGTGTCATCCGGACTCTGCCTCTGCATCTTTCAGTTCTGCTTCAACATCGGCTCCTGCTTCAGTAGGCTGTGAAGGTGCTGCACTGAGACAACATTACCGTATCCATTAGAACGAAAGGGAGTAAAGGTTGTCCAACATTTTTAGCAAAGTTCATGGAAGTCACTCTCTGTACTGAGTTCTGGATTTCATGGCGTCTGTGGAGTTATAGGTGGAATAAAGTCATTCGGACTGAGGATTTGGAGTCTCCAAAGGAAAATCATGGTACTATTATCACCCACACCTGATGTCCAGCATATTGGGAACATAGGAGAAGCATAAGGTCTTGGAAAGAGAAAACATTTTTAAATTTTAGTCAGAATGAGTTAAAAGATACAGTAATTTAAAAAGATGAATACTCATGCAGAACGTATTATGAGCTAGATAAAGTTTTGGTCTTTGGAGAATTTATCTATATTGACTGTATTACCTCTCACAATGCTGCTGTGAGAGACATATCTCCATTTTCAGATGAGAAAATTGAGGGAAACTGAAGATATCAGAAATAATGGCAACCAACTAATACTATTTATTTACTATTTGCTAAATAATTTCCTAAATAAATTTTTAAAGTAATTATCTTCCCGGGCAATGCATAATATTGAGAAGTCACTTTATAAGCACCAAATGCCTAGCTATGTACAAAAGACAAAGTATCTGCCATCTGGGAAATCATGCTACTATGACATGATAGTAAAACAGGTAAGAAAAGTTGGCTTTCAGTACTTAAGTACCATCAGCAAAGTATGATGGAGGCCTTCATTTTAAATGAAATGCTGCATGTTCGGCCCAACTCCTTCTAAACATAACTGATACATGAATTGATATCATACTACATATTTCTGTTTTCGAGTATCAGCATAATTTTGAGTGGAGAAAAAAAATATACATACACCTTTATCTGCAGTGAGGATGCTCCCTCTCTCTGTGTAAAGAAAATTGAAATAGAATTGTGTTGTTTTAGAAAAAGCAAGATTAAGTTTCTTTTGTTTAATAAATGTAAATTATTTACTTATTGAAAGTAGGTAACGGAAGATCATGATCACAGCTAATGATTATTGAGTCCTTGAAAATACTGGATAGTCTTTACTTAAATCATCTTTAGATTAACTGGCATTATTATAAACCTATTTTACCAGCATGGAAATTCCTGTGGTCACCTGGCCCTTAGTGCACCATGTGCTGTATAGTCAGGATTTGAACCCAGTGAGATACAAGCTAGAGCAGCATGCTTCCACTCACTGCACCATGATGCCTCCATAGAACCCCATGGTTTTCATTGGTGCTGCTTGTTCTCTTGTCTCAACTGTGAAAACATCTGAGACTTTGCAGCTGCCTCAAGAGAAGTAGAAAGAAAATTGCAGTCCCTTTCCTGATACTACCAGGGATAGGAAAGTGACTGCAAACATTGAACACAATTTTAAGAGTAAGAAATGCTTCGACTCACTGTTTCCTGAATCGCATAGTGCAGAATATGATTCAGGCAGTGGCTGACTTTGTCCTCCACCTGTGTAAACAAGGCGGTAGACTCCAGGAGGAATCTGAGATAAGTTTTAAAAATTTTTTTTAATTATTAGTTTTGTAACCTGTGACACCTGTATGTGCAGTTTCTGTGGCCCTCTTTAACTCTAAATGGATTATGGAGCAAGTTGATAAATAATCCATCACCTAGAAAACCGTTATGCAGAACAGGCCCCATCTGTGAAAGAAAACAAAAATCAACTTCATTAATGTCTATGTTTTTGGAAAGGAAATTCTCCCTTATGCTTTTCACAGTTATGTAATCTCAGGCACAAAAAAAGCCTTTTCATAAGTATTAGCATATACTTTTTGTAGATAATGAGAATGTTTTAAATGTTACAATTAAAATATAAGGAGACATAATAGTTAAATTTCAATAATACATGTATGTACAAAGTAGTACAAATCATATGCTGTAATAGATGGGAACACAGTAATTTGGTTCAGAGTATTTAGAGCATGTTCATTAATCTAGATAATACATGCATGTTTAATTTAGATAGAAATAACATTTTTTTTATAATTATATAAGAACATAGCTATTTTTCAGATTTATACATTATTTTCTCAGAATCTGAAACTAAAATTTAGTTTTAGCTGTATTGTCACCTTGTTTTTTCTTTTCGGAGATATGTAGTTTAGGTCAGCTTAGTAATATCCAGAATTTACACATGTAAAATTTAGCAGGATTTTAAGATATACCGATACTCTCAAGAAAGTATGAAATAAATGACAAATTAATGAAAATTAATAATAAAATAATACTAACAATAATCATGGAGAGCACTGATCTTATTTTCCTTGAAATACCAAAGAATTGGCACAATGATGGGACTTTTTTTAGATTAAATGATCTAAATAATTGCTTCAGTCTTCCATTATGCTTTCCTAAACTAGATTCTTAGGACTTTATGATATGTGGTAGTTAAGAGTATACAGAGGGAAGAAATCACATCCAGTAAGTTGTTGCTTAACATACTTATTATAGTTCTCACTTATAAGCTAATTTAAGCAATTTTTTAGGTATACATATTCTAAAGCTAAATCTAACATAGCTTTATTTTCTGATCTCAAAGAAGATCTTAATTCCACTGAAATTATTGTTATCAATATCATGTTTCATATGCTTGTTAATATTTAGATATTGTGATACCTACATACATACATACAATTTGATAAAATATAGCAATAGATATACCTAGAAATACATCTACCTTTTTTAATGAGGCTTTAGCTCATGGCAACTTGAGCACAAAAAAAGGATGACTGTAGTATCCATAGTTGCAATATACAGGAGTAATCCTACTTCATTGAAGTACCTTTATGAAAGGATAGCATTGTACTACATTAAGGGTCATAAATTATCATGATACTGATGAATGGATTTGTTAGAGAAAATAAGTAAAGTGGTATTTAGTATGTGAGAATCAGTTAGCACTCAAAATTTATTTTTTTTCACTAACTTCTGTGAAACTTTCTATTGTTTTCTTCTGGGATTTGACTTCTCCATTTGGCGAGCTGTCATTTTGACAGGGGTTACACCAAAGATCATCTTTCCGGAGGGCCATTTTACTGGCAAGCTTGAAGACAGCTGTGGTGGGATTTGCTTCACATTAAACCCAGTTTAGAGGAGAATGCAGAGTCCCCCAGGTATGCTGTTAAAGCAGGGCATGCCAAAGTAATATCTTGCTTGGTTGCCACTTTGAACTGCTTTCTCTTTATATTGTTGAAGCAGATTTTTTTCCCTCCGCCATTAAAGGTATTAATTGTAAGTGCTTGAGAAGCACTTGTCACCAAAGCACCTCTGCTCCTACTCCCATTTATTTAGTTGTAGCTTTCAAAACATAGAGAAATAAACTGTTTTTTTGTTTTTATATAACAGCACTTTAAAATGTTTCTTTTATGCTGTTCCTAAACAATGTCATAAAGTCATCTCCATTAGAGATCTTTCTGCTTATTTCAAACAATCAAAAATTACCCATATGTGTTGAATAATTTTCACACTATATGAAAGCTTCACGTTTCCGTAACAATTTTCCCAATCTAGAATTTTGAATCTACATGGTTTAAGTAGCCCAGACCTTTGGTACCCAGATATGGATGAATTAATCATCATGACAATACATATTTTATATAGTTTGAATTTTATAATTTGTTATAATGAAGGGAACTTCAGCCTGTTGTATTCCATGGGAAATCAATCATCTTATGTACAGTGTTTTACTTCCCAGCTTTGCAACTATAGTGGCTGGAAATGATAAAGTAGTTCCCAGAATTCAGTGTAATTACAGTTAGTACACATTGGGACCCTTGTTTTAGAAAAGAAACCTTTTCAAGATTTGTATTACATTGCCATCTACTTGAATGTAGTTTAATTGATATAAGAAATACATTTTTTTACAATTTTGATTTTGAGTATTTTCTACTAAACTATATCAAAGATATTTAATGTTTTCAAAAATGTTTTTGTAAACGTGTTTTGAAAGAAATAAAGAAAATGAATCACCCTAATAAATATTTTAAAATTGTTTTAGACCTAGGATATTGTAGCTGTTATTGTGATACTCTGTCAGTTTTTATCTTCGGGGCCTCAAGAAACTCATTTCCCAGTTATGAGGAAGACATTTACAGCTTCATCACTCAATTAGGAAATTGCCCTCAAACCACAGGAACCTGCATATGTCAAGAGTATGCCCATTGCGTGAATGCATCCTGAGATCCATGTTTGTCCTATGGTGGGATACCAAAGTTGAACTCTATAACTCTATTTTGGAACTGTGTTGAAGGCTCATTTTAAGTCCAGAGCTGTTTATAGAATCAGCAGAATCCTCGATTGTCACCTTACTGTTTGGCAGCCTCCCCCTCTTGTCTAACCTTGCATTCTCCCTTCCTTGCAGGTGTGTATCTCAAGAGCACTCCACAACAAAGATTCTGCCTGCAATCCTCCACTTCAGGTCTGTTTCAGAAAACCTGTGTAACACAGTTATGCAAGAGTGGTCTCAGGAAGCTGGACTCTAACATGAAAATTTAGATTTGGATCTTTCCTGACATACTGAATATTCATAAGAGCATATGATACATTTGTCTACCATAAAACATGTCATTTCAAAAAATCCTCAAAATTACCTTGTAGAACATAATTTTAAAACTAGTGTGTAGGAATATTTTGTATCAGTTATTCAGTCTTCTTAATATCTGAATCCAAATTAATCTTCCATTCTGCTTTTATTATAAATAATGATGTTTATTGTCAGATTCAATAATTTATATTTTCATTTATTCTAAAGTAGGAAATGCCAGCATAAAAATAAATTATTTGAAACAAATCACATTGTTGTCCATTTCACCATTACTCCATGTAGAAGATACTGTTTTTAACAAAAACTAATAAGAAACAGAAACTACCATTTATTAACTCATGCTTACTGGAAGCATAGAAGGATTTTCTTATTTAACTTGAATCAACTTTTTCATGAACATTTTTGTTATTGACAAATAAGTTTAATTTATCAAATCCTCACAGCAAAATTATAGGTGCCATATTAAACAGATTTTTTTTTAAAACATGATTCATAGAAAAGAATTTAATGATATGGTTTGGATCTTTGACGCATCAAATCTCATGTTGAATTGTAATCCCCAGTGCTGGAAATGGGCCTGGTGGGAGGTGATTAAATTATGGAGGTGTAGTTCTCATGAATGGTATGCACCTTTCCCTTGGTGCTGTCCTGTGATCAGTTTCATGACATGCGGTTGTTTAAAAGTGTGTGGCAGCTTTCCCATCTCTCTCTCTTGCTCTTCCTGCAGCCATGTGAAGGGCTGTTCCCCCTTTGCCTTCTGCCATGATTGTAAATTTCCTGAGGCCTCCCCAAAAGCTGAGCAGAAGTCAGCATCATGCTTCCTTAACAGCCGATGGAATTATGAGTCAATTACATCTATTTTCCTTACGAATTACGAGTCTTCAGGTTTCTTCATAGCAGTGAGGAAATGAACTAATTCAGCTAGTAAATGACAAATATAAAAATAGCAAATAGCACAAGAATATACCAGGCAAGACTAGGGGACTCCGGAACCTAAGGATTTCTGAAAGCATAGGTTTTTAAGAGTGTGGAGAAACTAAGTCTGGGACATGTTAGAACTCAATTACTAGAAATAAAAATCATATGTAGACTATTTAAATTTAGAAGAGGGAGGAGGAGAGGAGAAAGATGAGGAAGAGGAGGAAGAAGAAACATTCGGCTTAGCACATTTACTCCAGTCTATAGGGAAGCTCAGTTATACCCCTTCCCCACTAACCTAAGAGGAGCCTAATGTTCGTAAGGGCTTTCTCAAGGACTCAAATCCTCAGGGATACAAAATAGGGTGGGATACCGAGCAATAGAGGGGTGTGTGTGTGGTGGTGTGGTGTGTGTGTGTGTATGTTAGACAAATAGATGAAAAATGTTATTTTGCAACATAATCATTTTGTTTGGAGTCTCTCTTTTTCTCTCAATTTCTCTTTCTCTCCCTCTCTCTTTTTCTTTCTCACTTTCCCTTTGCAATACTAGTGAAGTAAGGCAAAATGAAATGAGCATGGGATCTTTCTCTAGCTTGATATCGTTTGTTATTATTTGTTCTCATTACAAACTGCCCTGTTAAACTTAGTTCATGGCTTAAAACAAATAATTTGTCTTGTTCCTGAAACTGAACTTTGGGCAGGGCCTAGTGTGAAGGTCTCATCTCTGTCTGTGTCATCGGGTCAGCTGAGGAAACTCCACTGGGGTCACAGGTATAATTTTCAAGACAGCTCACAGATGTGGGTGATGGATGCTGTCAGTTGTACCTCAGCTGCAACTGTCATTCAGGAGCCTCACTTCCTTTCCAAATGAGAGTCTCTGCAGAACAGCTTATGTTCTCCATGGCATAGTGTAGTATCCTGAAAAGCAAGTCTTCCAAGGACAGGAAATAGAAGATGCTAATCTCTCTCTCTACCCGCCCCCCGCACACTTTAGTTCTGGGTACATGTGCAGAATGTGCAGGTCTGTTACAAGTATACATGTGCCATGGTGGTTTGCTGCACCTATCAACTCATCACCTAAATTAGGTATTTCTCCTAATGCTGTCCCTCCCGTAGCTCCCAATCCCCCAAAAGGCCCCAGTGTGTGATGTTCCCCTCCCTGTGCCCACAGGTTCTCCTTGTTCAACTCCCACTTATAAGTGAGAACATGCAGTGTTTAGTTTTTTTTCTTGTGTTAGTTTGCTGAGAATGATGCTTTCCAGCTTCATCCGTGTCCCTGCAAATGATATGAACTCATCCTTTTTTTTTTTTTTTTTTTTTACAGCTGCAGAGTATGCCATGGTGTATATGTGCCACATTTTCTTTATCCAGTCTGTCATTGATGGATATTTCGGTTGGTTCCAAGTCTTTGCTGTTGTGAATAGTGCCTCAGTAAACATACGTATACATGTGTCTATATAGTAATTATTTATCAACCTTTGTGTATACAGTCAATAATGGGATTGCTGGGTCATATGGAGTTTCTAGTTCTAGATCCTTGAGGAATCACCAAACTGTCTTCCACAATGTTTGAACTAATTTACACTGCCACCAGCAGTGTAAAAGCATTCCTATTTCTCCACATCTTCTCCAGCATCCATTATTTCCTGACTTTTTAATGATCACAATTCTAACTGGCATGAGTTGGTATCTGATTGTGGTTTTGATTTGCGTTTCTCTAATGACCAGTGATGATGAGCTTTTTTTCATATGTTTATTGGCTCCATAAATGCCTTCTTTTGAGAAGTGTCTGTTCATATCCTTGTCCACTTTTTGATGGGATTGTTTTTTTTTTCTTGTATATTTGTTTAAGTTCTTTTTTTTTATTATACTTTAAGTTCTAGGGTACATGTGCACAACGTGCAGGTTTGTTGCATATGTATATTAGTGCCATGTTGGTGTGCTGC